ATTGAACAACCAACACATCCAATCTTCACATAAACTAACAAATCAACACAGGGAATTTTTAATAAAAACATACGAAGACAACACGTTGTTCTCAAAAAGTAAGAAATTGCATTTTAAACAAAATTTTCCGGCCATTTCTGGCAACCTCAACCCCATTTTAACAGACCAAAAGGTCCTTAAAATCCAATTGCTTTCAAAATTATTCCGACTTCGGTCGAATTTATGAATTCAATTTCATGAATTGTGGGCGCATGACAACTACAAAACAAAACTGAAGACTGCAACAAGCGACGATAAAATAGATCAGAAAAATACCTCGCAATTCGAAGATGTCCGTGTTTTTTTTAATTGGGCTTGTACAATTCGGCGATGTGCGAAAAACAGATCTAATTCTCCGAACAAGCTGCGTGTTTTATCAACTGGGCTTGTACAGTTCGGCGATGTGTGAAGAACATAGCTAATATTTTCCCGCTAAAATCGGAAGGAGTTAACGCCATCACTCCAACAGATTGACGGAAGGATGGCATAGACAAATCCAACTCAGCAGCTTGACACATAGACGATTCCAGCTCAGCAAGTCAAGAAGTGGAAAACTTCCACTTAATTTCCGAATTGCCACTGTGAGTAACAAGTTTGTTACTCACAGTGAGTAACACAGAATTAGCCTGATTAATAGTGTTGATTGTAATAAAAGAAGAGCAGTGGTCATTTCAACTCAAAAAGTGGCGAGCTGAGCCCCACAGAATGGGCTCTCGGTGATCAATGAGTTACATCCTCTCGTGGAACTGCAGAGGGTTGGGGAGCATCTCTGCAGTTAACGCTTTGAAGCGTGTGGTGTTTCTTGAAAGCCTCCAATTGGTTTTCCTCTCCGAAACCCGTCTGAAAAAACATGAAGCTGAAAAAATAAAAAATAAAATAAATTTCTCTTGTGCCTTTGTAGTAGAATGTGAGGGAGAGGGGAGAAAGAGGAGTGGGGGTCTGATGTTGTTATGGAAGGATGGGGTGGATGTTGATTTGATGTCGTTCTCCCAAAATCACATTAATGTTCTTATTGATAGTTTGATAGATGGAGGGTGGCGTTTCACGAGTGTCTATGGTTTCCCCGAAGAAGAACGGAAACATAAAACTGGTCTGCTTATGGAGATCCTGGCAGATTCACAAGACAAACCGTGGCTTTGTGGGGGAGATTTTAATCTCATGTTGGTGTCAAGTGAGAAGCAAGGAGGAGGGAATTTTAGAATGGAAGAGGCGGATATCTTTAGAAGGGCGGTGGCATACTGTCAGTTTGTGGACATGGGATATCTTTTGGTCACGACTTCACGTGGACCAATAATAGAGGTGGAGCTTATAACATACAAGAGAGGTTGGATAGATTTTTTTGCAAATCAAGCATGGAAGGAGTTCTACCAGAAGATCTGATCATCTTCCGATTCTTTTGTGCATGAAAGAGGCGATTATTACTCCATAGAAAAAGAAGAAAAGATGTATCATTTTGAAGAGATGTGGCTTAGAGATGATAATGCTTGGGAAGGGGGCGGTGACATTGTTTCAAAAATTGATTGTACCTCTAGCCGGCTTAGTAAGTGGAGTAAGGAAAAGTTTAGTGATTTTGCAAAGGAGATGGCTGATTGTAGAGCTCATATGAAATGCTTGATGAGTGAATACCAATCTGATGATATAATTGCTCAAATGAGGGCCCTCGATGACCGTATGGATGAATTGGAGAGTAGGGAAGAAGCCTATTGGAGACAAAGGAGACGACAAGATTGGTTGAAAAATGGAGATAAAAATATGACTTTCTTTCACACAAAGGTGAAGCAATGGGCAGCAAGAAATACCATTAATACCATCAAGGATGATGCGGGCATGGAGCATCGTGATGAAGAAGAGATTATTGAAGTTTTAGTGTCTTATTTCGAAGAGCTTTTGCCACTAGTAATCTCTCTAATATGGATGCCGTGATTGAGAAAGTGGAGTCGAAGGTTACAGAGAGACAACATAGCTCCCTTGCGGCCCCATTTTTTGCGGAGGAAGTTCGTGAAGCTCTTTTTCAGATGCATCCAACGAAGGCCCCGAGTCCTGATGGTATGTCTGCAATTTTTTTCAGAAATTTTGGGATGTGGTATGAAATGATGTGATTGAGAAAGTCTTGGATATTTTGAATAATAATGGTGATATAGGTTCTATTAATCAGACTCATATTGTCTTAATTCTGAAAAAGAAAATTTGTGAGTCTCCTGTTGATTATAGACCTATTAGTCTTTGTAATGTTTTGTATAAAATTTTTACAAAGGTGTTGGCAAATAGACTGAAAAAGGTCCTTCCTTTTATTATTCATGAGTCGTAGAGTCGGTTTGTTCCGGGAAGGTTGATCACAGACAATATTTGGGTTGCTTATGAGTGTTTTCACTACCTCCGGAAAAAGAAAACAGGGAATAAAGGTTACTTTGGGCTAAAACTCGATATGAGTAAGGGCTATGATAGAGTTGATTGGGGTTTTTTGCAAAACATGATGCTCAAGTTGGGTTTACCATCTAATTTTTTGAGCATGGTGATGAAATATGTTGCTCTGCCTCTTTGGATGTGCTGGTAAATGGTCAACCGTCTAGGAATTTTTAACCTATTAGGGGTCTTCGACAAGGGGATCCTCTTTCCCCTTTTCTCTTTATTATGTGTGCGGAAGGTTTGTCGACACTTTTGAGGGATAAGGAAAGTAAAAGGCTCATTCATGGGATTAAAATTGGTAGGAGTGTTGCTCCTATTTCTCATTTATTTTTTGCGGATGATAGTCTTTTATTTATGCGTGCTAGTGAGGAGGAAGTTGAGAATGTGCTTGAAATTCTTTCTGCCTATGAAGTTGCTTCTGGCCAGAAACTGAACATGGAATAATCTGAGGTGTCATTTAGCCGAAATATTGAGCAAGAACGGAAAAATATTCTTCAGATGAAATTGTCTTTTAAGACTGTCGATGGACATGACAAATATCTTGGGCTTCCAACCTACATTGGGGGTTCGAAGAAACAGGTTTTCCAAATCATTCAGGATCGAGTCTAGAAAAAGGTGAAAGGGTGGAAGGAAAAATTTCTGTCTCAAGCCGGGCGTGAAGTTCTTATCAAGTCTATTGCTCAAGCTATCCCTACTTATGCGATGCAATGTGTTTTTGCTTCCGATGAGTATCCTTGATGAGAGAGAAAAATTATGCAGAAATTTCTTTTAGGGGCAAAAGAAAGATGAGAGGAGGATGAGTTGGGTGGCTTGGGAAAAGTTGTATGCCCCCAAGTCTCATGGAGGTCTCAGCTTTCAAAATATGAGGAACTTTAATAGAGCTTTGCTGGCTAAGCAGGCATGGAGAATTATGACAAATGAAGACTCCTTGATGACGAAAGTGCTTAAAGGAAAATATTTTCCCAATTCTTCTTTCCTTGAGGCAAAAAATGTTCCGAATATGAGCTATACTTGGCGCTTAATTCTCGAAACTAGAGATGTGTTAGAGTTGGGTGCAAGAAAGTTGATTGGTGATGGTGCTACGACCCATATAAGGAGTGACCCATGGGTCCCTACTCTTCCAAAGTTCAAGCTCCTGCCAGAACGTGAGATTGAGAGTGATGAGGTTTTTTTGGTGCGTGATCTTTGGGTGGAGAGGAGCTGGAATTTGTAGACCTTGAATGCACTATTCTCTGCCAGGGAGGTTGAAGCTATTTGCGCAATCCCAATTCCGCTCTTTGATAGGAAGGATAGGTGGGTGTGGCACTACTCGAAAGATGGGAGATATATTGTCAAGAGCTCTAACAAGATTCTGACTTTATTGAGAGAGCATGAGAAGGCAACCTCCTCTAGTTGCAATGATGAGTTTGACTGGAACTTAGTGTGGAATGTGGGTGTCCCTCCAAAGGTAAAAAATTTTGCGTGGCGTGCTATTAGTGATGGGGTTGCTACCCGTGCTAATTTGAGCTCCAGGGATTTATTAACTGATAATATATGCGCAATGTGTGGGGAAAAAAGGGAGGATACTCTACATATGTTGGCTCTTTGCAATGAATCAAAGTTTATTTGGCGATTTTCTTCTTTGAGGCTGGAAGTTGAGAGATATGAGGGGAGCAATTTCAGAAGGTGGTGTGCTGCGGTGAGGTGTAGGTATAAAGATACTCAATGGTGGAGTATTTTTTGGAGCATTATATGGTGCTTATGGCTGCGTAGAAATGCTTGGGTCTATGAGGGGAAAAGAAAGGGATGTTGGGGAACTTCTCCAAAAAGCTGTCAGTATGGTGGGTGAATATGAGCAAGTGATGGAAGCTAGCAGCACCAGTGTGAAGCCTATCAAGCATCCAAATCAATGGGCTGCTCCATCTGTTGGAGTTATCAAAGTGAATTTTGATGCAGCTACTTTCAAAAATAATTCTGTGGGGCTTGGAGCAGTTATGAGGGATCACCTTGGGGATGTTGTGATTTCCACATGCCATCACGGCATCAAGTGAAGGGTGCGTTTGATGCTGATATTGCTGAAGCTATGGTGATGCGACACACTTTTGAGTATCTCCCTTCAATCAGGTTTCAATAAGCTATGCCTTGAAACCGACTGCTTGAAACTTTACCAGTGCTTGGTAAAGTCTGATGCTAATCCCTCAGAGTTTGGTTCAATTGTTTTAGACATTTTACAGCTTTCCTTTTCTTGTGTTTTTGTTTCTTTTTCTTTTGTTAGGAGGGAGGGGAATCGGGTTGCTCATAGCTTAGCCTCTTTAAGTTGTAACTATGAGGAGCTTATGGTTTGGATGGAAGACATTCCAGGTGCTCTTATGGAGCTTGTAATGGCTGACTTTAGCCCTCCTGCTACTTAATAAATTCTGCTACCATTTCCCGTCAAAAAAAAAAAAAAAAAAAAAAAAGCTTTACAATATACAACCAGTTACCATATTTGCTCATTTTGAGCAATTGAAAAAAAAAAACAAAAAAAAAAAAAAAAAAAAAACAAATTCAACCCAAGAATCAGCTACGGAGGGGAATGGCTGAGAAAGTATTAACCATGTATGTTGTAACAATGGAATGTTAAAGCCACACCACAAGGTACACGATGCAAGGATTTTCATACAGCATCCAACCAAACATATTGTGGCAAGGAGCAAAAGATCAAGCATCTGCAGTGTTATTCATATCCATAGATTTAGTCCAAGCCACACATTTATACAAAAACAACAGTTGGAAAGTGATTTACATCAGTTTCAAACTCCCTGACACATTAGAAGAACAATTTTGATGAAAAGCTTTCAATATCTGGGTTTGTTATTCAGTCTACTTCTTTCCGCGCAGTTTCACTCCAAGAGCACGCTCCAGTTTTCCAATGATCTGCTGATTTGGAATGGCCTTTCCTGACTCATATTCCTGAATAATCTGTGGCTTCTCATTGATCACCTGCAACCAAATATCTCGTAAGTTTCGGGAGTACAACAATATGAACTTACTGGAAGTGTGGAACTGAGCCTGAAACCAAACTTCTTTACTGTAAGATCCTGTAATTCTAGCCTTCATTTGACCACCATCTCTGCAGCTTTGATGGTTTGGTAAGATAACCAAGATACATTGCGCAAAGAAATAAATAAAGGGGAGACAAACCTGAGCAAGTTGAGATTGGGTGAGCTTCTTATCAGTTCGAGCCTGCATGATGGCCTTCTTAAGTTCGGTTGGAACTCGATCATCTAATGCAAAGTTCAGTCAAATGAAAAGTCAGATGAAAAGTACACAGAATACAATATCTATATCTGTACACATGTTTAATTAAAGTAACTTTTTGTGCCAATGTGTAATATAATAAGTTTTCGTATTGTTCTTTTTGGAATTTTTTATTTTTTTTTTTTAGGGTGGCATTAATCTTTTTGCATCTTTATTTAACTCCTTGATCCGTCTATCTCAATTCTTAATCTTCCAAATCAGTACTATTATTTTTTATTTAGTTTGGATCAGTTTTGCTTTTTAAATCAAAAAGATATAATATACAAAGCATGAAAAATCTTAGTTACCATTTTCAGAAAAATTAAAGAAAAACATAATGTACATATAAAAAAATAATAAGAAAGCAACATGCGCGTTGCACAGGCCACAAAAACTAGTGGAAAACAAAAGGAAAATTCCTCAACAAATTTCAGAAACAAATTGGAAACACAAGTCACTGAAATGCACTGTTACAAACCGATTGCATAACTAGGTTAAGAGTAGTCAGAAATACTATGCTTAAAAAAAATCGACAGGTCTTTTCCTGACACCTGTAAAACTAATCAGATTACAAATTCTCCTTTCTCTAATTATTAGTATTCTTTAAAGATTACAGATGTATGTTCAAAACAATAGACCCATATTAGGTTTCAAGCAGCTTATTCATACACTGGACCGTTAACACATTGATCTCAGGTTAGAATTCACCTAATGATAAGTCAGACATGACAGAATGATCATCAAATTAGTCTAAGGCAAAGAAGATTTGAATTCATCTACTAAAACACAGGTAGTCTAACAATGAATTAGTTGCAAAACCTTAAGAAACACCACTATTTGTTTGATAGGTAACAGTCAACAGTGTAAAATAGATACTCCTCTGTCCCTTACAAAAACTCACTTTTAACTTGAGGTCATCCCAAAAAAAAATAGGCAACAAATCAACCCAGCTGGCTACTCAATCTCTGAAATCTTGTTGGCCGGCAAACCGGAGACAAATTTTATTAAGCTAAACTTTGTTAATTGCCCTTATTGACTCTTAAATCTCTATATCTTTGACTAAATCTCTAGTAAAGCATTCATAGAAAAGAATAGCAAAGTTTTTTTCTTTGGCTCTACAACTTACCTATGACACCAAACAAATGTTATGTGGCATAGTATTTCAAGGATGAAGGGGGTATAGAATGTACGGGACTTAATTCATTGTTCCGAAAAAATAAAACCCACAAAATCAAATGTATTTGAGACCAATCAAAAGTACGAAAAGGAAGGCACTCACGAGCAAGATTCTCAGTTTCATCATCCAGCTTTCTTGTGTTCAGAGATGTGCCACTGGATGCAGCTTTGTTAGTCCCAGCAGCCGCTGCAATCAAAACCCGGCAAAGTTAGGAAATTATCAGAAACAATGATTACATCCAAAATACACAATTGCAATGCAATCAATTTGCTTTATGTAGTTCAGGTGCAAAAATTAACCCATATTATATCCAAGTCTGCTTCGTATTACAATCTAATCCAACAACTCCTAAACGGAACTTCGAAAATAATCCTAACACGAATCAAACCCGATAAACCTCGCATAACAGTACAACCAGCCAAATTGAAACCTCCCCTACTAATACCAAACTTCAACAAACCCTAACCATATACACCAATCAACAATCATCAAACATCCACAACAATCAACATATAACAGTGTGAGTACTAACCATAATTAGCACAATACATATCAAATTCCAAAAGTTCATCCTAATTCCTAAAAATTGAAAAAAAAAAAAAAGGGAATGAAAAACTAGTCAACTAGCAGAATAAAACCCTAAAATCAAATTCACTAATTCTGAAAATCAAATTAACAAATCTCCCCCAAAACCCTAATTACAAAAATCCATCAAAAAAAAGGGGGGAAATCACCAAAACAGCATAAAACTCCAATGATCTAATTCAACCCAAAGATTAGATAAAAGTAATCATACATTAAAATCAAAAAACGAAAAAAGTAGTAGAAAAAAGGTACCTTTGCGAACAGTTTCGATTTCGGCGCCGGAACGACGGGCGGCGTTGACGGCCTTCTCGTCCTTCTTGGCGGCGGCGTTGGGGGTCTTCTTGCGGATGACAACGGGCTCCCAATCCTGCGACATAGGTCCAACTCCTGCCATTGATTCTCAAGGAAAAGGGTGCTCTTCTGAAGATGATAGAGATAAAGATAGTTTTTTTTAGTGTGGGAATATGAGAGTTGTTTATGATGTTTTTCCAGTTCTAGGGCTACTTCATGTTCTTATATAGACAACAAGTTTCTCTTTTAATGACCTTATCTCGTTTCATCGACATCGATCCGAAACGTGAATAAAAAAAACATTAAGTTAATGTGATTTTTTTTTCTTTTTTTCTTTTTTTTTTTTTTTTTTTTTTTGACAAAGAGATCATTTAATTAAAATAAAACATGATTACAACATAAACTAAGTTTCTTTCAAAAAAAAAGAAAAAAAAGAAAAAAAAAGTAAAATAAAAAGCAACACACATTGAAAACTAACTCGTACAAACTAAACTGAAATAAAGCAATAAAAAGGTGGTAACTTGCGGCTTTTGCACTTGACCGAGCCTTGATTATCGGATGAAATCCACATACGATAGTAGTAAACCCTGTCAAAACAAACTATACCTATGCTATGCATTGATATCAACCCATAACACCTATTGGTACTCTTGTAGGAGATAGTGTAGAAGTTGGGGTAGAATACTTGTAAAGGAACCATTATATACCAATAAAGCTTCACAAAACACGGGAGTACTAAAAGGAATGAAAATCCATGCCCTGATTGAGAGACACTTATGAGCAAGACTTGATGCTCACAATATGAGCAATCCCAATGACCCATATTAAGAATAGTCAAGTGGGATTCTTGGCTCATTACCACAACTCGAGTCACGGTACCTATTTGAAAGGGTACAGTTGGTCTATCCTCCTCAAATGGGATAAGACACAACTTCACCGAGTGTTATGAACCCCCAAACATTGCGCAAGGGGAGCCTCTTTCAAATAGAAATTTTTGAAAGCAATGACTTTAAAGATAATTGCTAACTGGCATTGGGAATTACCTCTTCTTGTTAATTACCTCACGACCCTCCTATACTCAATCAAAGACCAAAAAACACAATCCTTCGTCCTTCCACAATCAAATACCAGACCACTACCTACAGTCACCCTACATTCTAAACCCTCTAACTCTACAAAGTGAAATAGGATAAAAAGAAATTCCAAAAAACTAGCCCTATTGAGGAAAACACAACCTAACCTCAAAACCACATAGAGAAAAACTTCCTGTAAATTCAACCAAAGAACAGGAACCTCCATAGACCTAACAACAAAACCCAAAGCCACCTCCCTTAGCCCCTGTACCCACCAAGGAGCATATCAAGGAGCAAGAACATACATCCCTCTAAAACTAAGATAATAGATAAGACATTGGAAACCAACAATTCCAAACAAAAGAACTCCTTAGAAGCCTAAATACCAAACTTGTTAGGGGAAATAAAATAAGCAACCCCAACATAAAGCTGCAAGACAACAAGAACAAAGCAACACAAAGAACTAACCAAGAGAACTAAAGCAAAACCGACTAAACAGAACTAACCAAGAGAACTAAGGCAAAACCGACTAAACAGGGAAAAGGAACACTGAGGGGAGCGAATAATTGAATAGCAAACTGCCTCACTGGCTTAATACACCTGAACACATATACCTGACGTCAAGGCCGACGCAAGAGAACCGTCTCACCTGAATCAAGACTTCGAACAAGCGAGAAAACTCTAGCCTTAACTTCACCTTTACCGTCTAGAAAACAATTAGCGGAAATCCTTTTGACGGCGGCGTAAAGAATAGCCTTGGCTCCTTGTTTCGTTGGATAAGAATCTAAAACACTTTACAACAACCACAAAACTTGATTCACCGTACCGTGAACTTGAAGAACCTCCCTTGTTTCCTTAATGTGATTTTGTTGACTATAAGTGAATACATAAAGTGATGAAGGTGAAATAAGACTTTTATTTAGAGATAACCAGAAAATGACATGTGTCATCCTTGGTTTCGCTTTTAATATATATGTCGTAGTTATTTTTATGTAAAACACGACATTAGGGATTAGCAAAAACAAAATTAATAAGGAAATTTGTCAAAAATAAGCCAACCTCTATATGTTTAGCTCAAAATAAGACAGTGTTTTAATCAACTAAGAATAAGTTCATCTTTATGGGATATTTTCTTAAATTAAGTCTTAACTTGTTGAAAACTGGTAAAACAAGTTAAAATGATACATATTATAATTTTATTGGCTTGGCTTTTAAGATTCTAAGCTTAATTTTTTACTTAGTTTTTATTAAATCTTAGTTTAATTTTTTTAACCCTAATCTTTCTCCTCATTCCTCCTTCCACCCAGTGGCGGAGCCAGGATTTTCAACTTGGGGGGACAAAATGCTTAACTTACGAAAAGTTTAACAAAAAAAAAAAAAAAAAACTCACACACAAATTGGTTAATACTTAATATTAAAATTTCAAAATACAAATAAATACTTAGTCATACAATTCAAAATAATGAAAAAATTTACATAAACATTACATTAAAATTACAAGTTCATTCTTCGAGTCTTCATACTTTGAAATCGATCAATAATTTTTTCGTCGGAAACTCGTAAGAAGACATCCTTCTCAATAAAAGTGACCAAACAATCATTCATAAGTTGATCACCCATGCTATTTCGCAACTTGTTTTTAACACATGTCATTGCGGAAAACACTCTTTCAACACTTTTCGTGGCAATGGGAAGAATCAACATCAACTTGATAAGCAAATGAATAAGAGGAAAAGACTTATGCTTATTGGTTTTAACAAGCATCATAGAAAGAGAATTAAGGTCATTTAAACCTTGAAATCTTTCATCATTTAGCATATTCTCCATGCATACATCAAGTTGACATTCAAGAGCCATCAAATCAAACCTTGAAAATTCTTCGGGATAAAAAGAGGCAAGTTTAAGTACCTTATCTTTATCATAGAATGAGAAGTTATCTTTAGGACTTAAACAAGCCATACATGTTAGTAACTCCATATTACTCTCATTAAATCGTTCATCAAGTTCTTGAAGATGCAAATCAATAAGAGGCAAGAAAATTCCAACCCGAAAATGATGTTCATTTGTTGCTTCTTCAACAAAACGTCTTGATCTTCCATGAGGAACATAAAGAGAATCCATAGTGGGAATAACAATACCATGTTTAGTGCAAAATGAAGTTACCTTGTTTAAGAGAGTATCCCATCCTCGCTCCCTCATTTTTTGCAACACCGTTTTTGTATAAGTAACAAGTTCCATGACATTTACAATATCTTGCTCCTTTCTTTGCAAAGCAACACACAAATCATTAGTGTATCCAAAAATAGTCAACATCAAGTGAGCAACAAAAATAAAGTCAAATGACTCTAATTGTCCTAAAACAATTTGAGCTTTGAACTTATCTTCCGATGCACCATGCTTCCCAATTTGTACAAGCACCTTAACAATTGTAGGAAATAAGAGGATGACATTTAAAAGTGACTTGTAATGAGAACTCCAAAGAGTATCCCCGGGCCTACTCAAACCAAGTTCTTGATTTAAACCCGATCCACTCACAATATCCCCAACATCCAAGGCTCGAGCAACTTCTTGAGCTTGATCTTGACGAATCATTTCTCTTCTCTTGCAAGAAACTCCAACCACATTCAATAAATTTCCAAGTATCTCGAAAAGCCAACCACAACTATCATTCTTTTTAGCAACGGCAACTAATGTTAGTTGAAGTTGATGAGCAAAACAATGTATATAGTAGGCACTTGGAGTATCATTCATAATCAAAGTCTTAAGGCCATTTATTTCACCCTTCATGTTGCTAGCTCCATCATACCCTTGCCCTCTTATCATAGATGGGCTCAATGAATGTTCAACAAGTAAAGACATGATTGCATCTTTAAGAGTTAAAGCGGTAGTATTAGCAACATGAACAATGCCTAAAAATCGCTCCATTACCTTTCCACTATCTCTATCAACAAAACGCAAAACAAGAGCTAGTTGTTCTTTTTGGGACACATCACTTGACTCATCGGCCAATATAGCAAAGTAATCATCACCAACTTCTTCTATTATGCACCTAGTTGTTTCTTTGGCACAACAGTTAATAATGGTGCATTTTCAAGAGTATGTATCCTTACTTCCTCAACCTTTTCTCCTAACCACTTCAAAAGCTCAAGGAAATTACCCCTATTATATGACTCCCCACTTTCATCATGTCCACGAAATGCCAAACCTTGCCCCAAAAGAAATCTTAAACAAGATAAAGATGCTTTCAAGCGGATAAAATATTCACTTTTAATCACATCACTTGCATTGTCAATCACATTCAAGATTGATTTCTTTTTTTCATCTCTTAAATTCACATATTTCTCATAAGCAAGATTATGAGCACTTTTAATTCCACCAACATGCTTCTCAAATCTTTCCGGTTTATTCCATGCCCTAAACCCTCCATCAACAAATGCATCACCCCCCGGTTTAATACCAACTTCATTCTTGAACAAGTAACATACAAAACAAAATGCAGCATCTTTTTCAATACTATATTCAAGCCAATCCCATTTGTTGAACCAATGAACACTAAAGCGACGCAAACCAGACACTTGTCTTGTAGGGAAGTCATGAGTTTTTGGTTGGCAAGGTTTTTTAAGAATATAACCCCTCCTAACAGCATTTCGTTCATTTGCGGGGTAATCCATAATGTTTATTCTTTTTCCCGGATCATGAGGAAGAAGTTCAACATCATACACCAAATCTTCCTCTAATGGTACATTACTATTACTTGAACCACCCATTTCCATACTAATTTCTTGACTTTGAGGGGAGCTAACTGAAGGTGAGTTATTGGACTCATTTTCATTGAGTCTCGTTCTTTTAAACAAGAATTGTCGAAGATCGGGTTGTTTAGTTGCCTTGGATTTGTTTGAATTTGGTGAATCTTTTGATATTTCCTAGTTAAATTGAAAATTATATATCAATTTCCACAAGACCACAATCCACATCATTACATAATAACAAAACCTAAGATTTTAAATTTCTAATTCAACTACACATTTCAATAATTTACAATAATTAATAATTTAAATTCACATTTCACAAAAACAGCCAAACACTCAAACAGGGGAAACATTCAAACAATCAAACAAATATAAATCAATAATCAATACCCACAAGGCCACAAATGACAAATTCACAATAAAAATATAAATTATAAAACAATTAAACATTTAAACAAGTAATGAAATTCACTTAATTCAGATTTACATAATTACATAATCAATTAATCATACCTCCATTGAAATTCAGATTTACTCCTTACAGTAAATCTGTAAATGCGAAGTTGCCGACTTGCGAACTGCTGCTGCAAACACTTTACACTTGAACACCAAACGTCCAAACTGCTGGCTGTGCTGCGGTGGCGCGGTGCTGGGCTGCTGCTGCAAACAGCAAACACGAACTCATGAAGACACGATTCACACGAATTGAAGGTTGTCCGTTGTCGTCTGTCGAACTTCGTCATTGGCCTCACTGCTGCGAACTGCCGAAGAACGGTGGACAGCGTCAGGCGACTCGGGCGAGGTGAGGGCGAATCGAAGAGAGAGAAATTAAAAATTGAAAGACTTAGGGTTTGGCTGCAAATGTCGCACAGAGCACTCTGTAATAGCGTTTTTTTGTTTTTTTTTTTAAATTTTTTTTTAAATTTTTTTTTTGAAAATGGGGGGACAAGTGTCCCCACTCGTCCCCTTCTAGCTCCGCCCCTGCTTCCACCGTCCCCTTCTCTCTCCTCTCCCTGCACCACTCCTTTTTCTTTCCTTAACGCCAATATTGATCCAAATCCATGGTATGTAAAAAAGTTAGCCTTTTAATTTTTTATTTTTTTTTTTAAATACCCAAATTAAAAAGGGTGGAAGTGTATGGTGGAAAGACAGGTGGGCCCGTGACAAAGTTGTAGTGAGGAATGCAACGGCAACTTAAGAGGTGTTAGAATAGTCCAATGAAAATGAGTCGACGACGGCGACGGATGACTAATGGTGGCATTGGTCTTAGCCATGGTTTTTTTAGTGGTTGATTGATTATTTGTTTTGGGTTGTGTGTGTGTAAAGTAGTCTTGTGGTGGTTACATAGAAGAATGGTGGGACGGTGGGCGGTGATGGAGGCAAGGTTGTGCTTCAAGGGGCACGTTGCTGTGAGGGGGTTGGGGTAATTGTTTGGTAGACGGCAGTGGTGGTTGGGTGGCTTAAAGGTGGTGGCTCGGTAGATAGTGGTTCATAGGGGTGGAGGAATTTTTAAAAAAAAAAAAAAATAAAGTGACTTGTTGGGAAGGTGGTAGGTAATTTGGCTTAATTAAAGATATTGTTATATAAAAGTTGACTTATTCTTATTTAATTAAAAGATTGACTTATTTTGGGCTAATGGATTAAAGGTTGACTTATTTTTGACAAATTTTCCAATTAATAATGATTAAAAGTGAATATATTAATTCTTTTCAAAAAAAAAAAAAAGTGAATATATTAATATATCAACTTAAGCATTACAAAATGTAACTCTTGTTAGATTGTGGACTACTAACATACATGATTGTTGCATGGCCAAAATAAAGATGAGACCCAACATAACAAACAAAACACGTAATCAGCAAAGCTAAGTACTTGCACACTAATAGAAAATAAACATACTAGCATGTTTCGTCCTAACAAATTATAAAAGAATACTTAAATAGTACAAAATATATACATTAACCAACAATACTTGATCACAAAATACTTGACTCACTTGACTTACTATTAAACGTGTCTCCATTCCTGCTATGTCCTTAAAGGGACCTAGTTCGAGAATTAATCCATCGAACTTGTGAAATAAATTAACGTGTGCTACTTGAAAAGTGACACATCGCATTATAAATGAAAATACGACAACCCGTACCCTAATGATCAGCGCATCGCAACGCCTAACTACGATGGAAATGGTTGAACGATCACATGGGTAGCACAGTCATTTCGCAAGTTTTGAAATTTTGAAATAAAAGTTCAGCGGATGCTAACATGTCAAACCCGTTATTACAACTCACTTCTCATTGCTTATGTGGCATGGTTAAATCCTAGTCATTTAACTAAGTTTCTTTACATATTATTAGTTATTTCTCCAATTCAATACTCCAGGTTTTCTCAGGGTTCTTCGACAATTTCCCCAAATCAATTGTTTTGCTGCTGACTCAAGAGCTTGTCCGTCTTTGCAATTAGGGTTGTTAGCGGAAAAGGAAGTAAAGGATCCTTCTTCCAGGATCAAATCATTTGAATTAGGGCTTTTCTTTTCGAAAGGAATTAGGGTGCTCGTAGAGGAATTCGCAAAGGATTAAGGTATGATATAGCGTTTGGTTTCTATTTAACTCATATAGTTTGATATAATGTTTTATTTCTATTTAAGTAATATAGTTTTTAATAGGGTATACTTGCATGTAAATTGAAACTAAGATGATTAGGTTTATTGTAATATGTAGATGTATTACTAACTTAGGGCTACATTTATTCCAAACAAAGTAATTGTATTATTCTGGTTAGCCTGGTGCTCTTGCAATTTAGTTATGTGGTTTTGTGTTCTTTGTATTATTGTGTGAACTATGCTGATGTTCATCTCCGTATTGCCTAATATTAAAGGAGGGAAGACACGATGGTCTTAGGATTTTAAACCATGTTCGAGGTGAAAAATCATCTACTTAAAAGGGTGTGAAGAAAAGAAAAAGGGTTGAATATGATGACTGTTATGGTATTTCTGAAAATTCTAATTCGAGTGAAAGAGGCAAGACTAAAGATGGAAGCGGCTCTTAAAATTTATCTCATTCTTCTTCCCATAAATCTAAGTATGGTAGAAGAAGGAAACAACAACATAAATCTAAGGGAAAAGTGAAAGACAATGTAGTCTATATAAAAGACAATGTGAGTAAGCTGATTTGGTTTTGTAGTATTGGTTGATTTGGTTTTATAATTGTGCTTATAACCTGATTTGTTTGTGTATGTAGGTTGAACCTAGAAAGGGGAGATTGTCAAGGCTAGGTATGATGTTATTGGTACACAAGCGAGGAAGTGCACTAAGGTAAGGTGTATGTCTTGTAAGCAAAGCACTTACTTTTTTTTTTTTTTTTTACTTTAGTTAATTTCATAAATAAGTTGACATTCTTATTTAAAGAACAAACCATGTTTCGGGGTTTTTTGGAAACCCTCGGGATGCAGGTCGTGAATATGTCCAAGCGGCCACAAACACCTGTAAAATAATGAATATTCCGGTTGACGGAATATTCGCCTTCGACAGTCAAGTTAGTAAGCGAAAAACGAAGATGTTTAGAGAGAGAAAGTAAAGAGAAGTTAGAGCACTTCTTTAGGGAATTTTTCAACTCATCTTTGAGCCCTACTCTGGTTCATGCTTTTAGGCATGGCAGCGTTCCAAGGAAAAGAAGCTAGAGATAAAAGAGTCGCCAACAAGTTTTAGGAACTTGTAAACCGTTCACGGGTGTGAAGGTTACACCCCATTCACGATCACAGAGATCGCTAACTCCATAGTGGTTCGGAACCATGACTGGATGTTCGGGGATGATGGTACGAATCCAACCTAAAAGAGATTGAACCCGCCCTAAATAGGCCTCTACTCAAATCTTATGATATTCATGTGCGCTTTTCGATCAACATACATATATAAAGTTAACCATAAACCTGTTTAATCTACGTTAGTTAATTATTAATGCACAATCCAATCTATTGTTGGCGATCACTTGAATAATATAAAAATCATATTAGCATAAATAAACTTATTAATTATCTTATTAGGCGTGATTTCAAGTACAAATTCCCTTTAAACCTGCAAAAAGGTACATGATCAAGCAATAACAATAAATCATAAATAATCAAGCAACATATAATTAATACAACAATCATCATCATAAAAACATCATCAAAACATCGTTAGTAGTAAGATCCTAGTCTTGATACTAAACAGATTAATAAAAAGTCCTAGCATGTTACTAACAACAAAATCAAAGAGTTATCCTAAACATGATACTAGAAATCATAAAAAGCATCATAAACTTGATACCAGGATTCAATATAACATTGTAAACATGATTTCTACTCCAAAATCAAAGAATAATAATAAGGGTGATTGAATTACTCACTTTGATGCCTCAAAACAATACACACGTTAGTAAACTTCAAGAAAGTTATATCATAAAGTAATTAAATCAAATATGAATTGATTTATAGATTTATGACCAAACCCTCAGAATTATCATCCTTTCATGTCGAGGTCGAAGGCAACGTTGAGGATGGCTAGGAGTATTCGAATCTCGTGAATGAGGTATTGTGACTGATTTGGGAGAATATCAAGGATGTGTTTAGGATAAGGCTAAGAACATGGGTATTTGATGGTTGATAAGGATTTATGATGATTAGAGCTAGGTGGTCATAGCTAATTGTAGCTTATGATTGATGGTTCCAGCTGATTTTGAAAACAGGGAAAACGACCTCTATTTATAAGGAAAAAAAAGAGTCTGGACGCGATCAGAAAAGATCAAAATTCGAATCAAAATAGAACTCCTTAAATTTTGACGCGCTGCGACAAGTGTATCGCGCCGCGATAGATCTGACGCGGAGCGTTGGACAACAGTTTTGCGGTTTTTGTTTTTATCATAATTTTTTATCCAAAAATCGGAATAAGATAAATAATATATCGTTGGAAAGCTCTGGAAGTCTAATTTCCAACCCGATTAGAATCGAATTGATATCTTTTGTATAATTTAAGATGTGATCGAAATAATGGGACAGTGTCAGTTTAGGATTATGAAAAGAGAAGTTTTATTCAATCTCAAGCTCTTTGATCTTTATCTTTTCGGAAAGGATAAACTAGAACCTTCTAGAAACTTATAAAAGAGTCCTGATGAATCCTAATGAGTTTAGGGTTAGGAATAAGATATTTGGACCCTCATATGATCATTGGGTCATAGGTAAGGTGGACCTAGGCTCGGTTTGGGCTCGGTTTAGTATTTTGGTCATAACTTGTTCGTTTTAAGTTGGATTTGGGCCTATAATAAATCGTTGAAAGCTCTTTCCAAACCTCATCCAACTAAGCAATAATTGGTCTAAGAATATGGACCAAAATAATCTATTTTGGACGTTTTTATGAGTTGGACACGAAATGAATTATGTTGGGTTAAAACACTTTAGGTAAGGTGAGGCTTAAGGAAACTTCACGAGACTCTTTAACTCTTCACCGAACTCGTTAATTAAAGACGTGAACGGTACTCATCACTAGGTTTGGTTTTTGGGGAGACACAATCAAGTGTCTATAACTTAATATGCCTTTTTATGATATGTCTCAATCCACCCCTCCCATCATTAATGATTAGGGTATTTATAGGGGTTGGAATGTGTGCATTCACGTTCACGGAGATCGTTAACTCCATAGTGGTCCGCAACCATGACTGGTTGTTTGAGATGATGGTACGATCCAACCTAAAAGAGATTGAACCTGCCCTAAATAGGCCTCTACTCAATTCTTATGATATTCATGCACGCTTTTCAATCAACATACATATATCAAGTTAATCCTAAACCTATTTAATCTACGTTGGTTGATTTTTAATGCACAATCAAATCTATTATTGGTGATCACTTGAATTAAAATCATTATTAACCTAAAATTAAGTTATTATTTATCTTATTAGGCATGATTTCAAGTACAAATTCTCTTTAAACCTGCAAAATGGGACGTGATCAAGCAATAACAATAAACCATGAATAATCAAGCAACATATGATCAATATAACAATCATCATCATAACATCATCAAAATATCGTTAATAGTAAGATCCTAGGCATGGTACTAAATGGAATAATAACAAATTCTAGCATGTCACTAATAACAAAATCAAAGCGTTATCCTAAACTTGATACTAGAAATAAAAATAAGCATCTTAAACATGATACTAGGAATTAAAATAATATTATAAACATGATACTAGAGATCAAAATAACATTGTAAACATGATTTCTACTACAAAATCAAAAGAATAGTAAAAAGGATATTTGAGTTACTCACTTTGATGCCTCAACCTTCTTGCTATTAAAACAATACACACGTTAGTAAACTTCAAGAAAGTTAAATCAATAAAGTAAATAAATCAAATATGAATTGAAATAGAGATTTGGGACCAAACCCTCAGAACTATCAACCTTTCACGTCGAGGTCGAAGGCAACGTTCGAGTATGGCTTGGAGTATTCGAATCTCGTGAATGAGGTATTGTGAGAATTTTGATGGTTGTTGATGATAATTGTTGGAGCTAGGTGGTTATAACATATGATTGATGGTTCTAGCTGATTTTAAATCGGGGAAAAAGACCTCTATTTGTAAGGGAAAAAAAGTGTCAAAGCGATTAGAAAAAAGATCAGAATTCAAATGGAAGTAAAACTCTTTT